GGATTCTGTCGGGTATATTCGACTAAAAGCGCTCGGAAGGGTCGAAATCATTGAATATCATAATTGGATGTGATTCTGATGAGGTTTGGACCGATTGGAGCGGTTATTGTTAGTGGGCGGATTTCCGTTCTTATGCGGACTTCACCTTTAGGATTATAATTCATATATGCAGCTTTTGTAATTGATATCTACTTAATAAATTTCAAGTAGAATTATTAAAATATTTGTGTTCTTCTATTTAATCAGCTGTTAAAGGCAAATTTATTAATTTGATCACACTATTGTGCGTTGACATTTATATAACTTGCCTCTTATGCATGAATAGAGCTTGTTATTTATATAGATATATAGTCATGAGATGAGTGTGTGTTTTGATGATTGGCATGCTTTATTTACTCATGTATATCACTTAAAACAACAACATTTTGTTTTGTTTATTTTACAGCTGGTCGTGTGCGCGGTAAACGTGGAAAAATTAATTTAGAAAAAGCTATCAACAAAAATTTGTTTGACATGACAACTATTCCCGAAAGAGAGGAGCAACAATCACAACAACAGACAGCATCAACATCATCAAATGTTGTAGTGAACCCAAAAGAAAAATTTACAGCAGAATTCAAGCGTGCTATAACAATGATGAAACAACGTTCAGAACCCAATGAATCACTACCAACTGATGCGATGATCACTCCGACTATACCCGGTAGTAATAACAATTCAATAAAACGTGTATTAAGTTCAAAACTCTCACAATCACCTGATTCTTCATTGTTAGATAAACTAGCATGTTTAACAGAGAAAAAACTAACTGTTTTACCTCATGATACATCATTGTCAACAAATATAACGACTGTGGATCCGTTATCATCAACTGCTCCGATTAAACTTGCATCGGCATCTCCACAGACATTGAACGATTATCAGCAAAATAGTCCATCATCCACACAAAGTATACCGAACTCAAAATTTCATACCGATAGTGCCTCTACGACGGATAATAACCATCACCAATCATTATCTTCTGTTAAGCAAGAAAGTTCAGATAGTCATCTATCCTTGTCAATAATTAATCCGCCAACTACATCATCCATGCAACATTTGGCACCGTCAACAACAAACCACCCAATACTTCATTATGAGCCAGCTACTACTACCACGATATTAAACATGGATCTAACGTCTTCCTCTAAGTCAGATCACAGTTCTGGTCATATATGTCCATCGACGCATACACCAAAAGACTCATCATTATCATCATTTACACCTATTACCGTCCCTCATCCAACGACTACTCTGTCATCACAACCCCTTGTTAAACAATCATTACAACAAATACATTCATCGATAATGCAGCTACAACCACCGTCATTATCTCCCTCTCCTCAATCGCAACAACAATCAACACCCTCGCCATCTACTCAACTTAGTGCAGGTGAATTAGCTATTCTAGAGACAATTCTCTAGTAGAATAATTCTACTTTTTATATCTGTTGTTTAACATTGCACCATGCACAAAAAAACATAATAAAAGATAATATTGTAGTTTCACACCACATTAATGTATCAAACTGCACTTCACATGTCTCTGTATGTGTGATATAACGCTCATGCACGAAGAACATTTTTAATTCTGCACGCTGTGTGTATCTTTGTTTGAATGGCGAAACAATAATGAAGATGAAAATATAACAGTGGGTTATCAACGAATCAGCGCGCTTTGAATGTAAGTGTATCATGAAGAGCATGCATAAATATCACTTAACTTCTCAAAGAAATTTTTTAAATTTACTACACTCTTTTTTTCTCTCAAGGGAAGGGACTAAGCTAACCCATTCCATTCACTGCACATATGACTAAGGAGAAAAATGTTCTTTTTGAAAAATAACTGTTTTAGTAAATAATGTGACGAGACTAGTCTTTCCCGCTGAAACGAAAATTTCGTCGCTATTCTGTTGAGTAGAATACTAATGATTTGCTTTTATTTATCTTTTTTGTAGGTTATATTCGTCTTTTGAATGGTGGTCGAGCCCCTATAGCTTCTCCGGATCCATTATCACTAACTGATGACAGTGTATGTGCTAATACTCCGGAAATAGATATTCTATGAATATATATGTTTTCTATTATTGAAAAAAAATTACTCAGCGATCTAAACAATGTTGCCTTGTTTTTCTGAACAGAAAATGCGTATTTATGTTCCCTTATCTCTTCTTCTTTATAAACGTCCATCGAACAACTTCGAACAGGTGTTTTCTTCTATCTACAAAATTTTGTCATTAGAAATAACCGATAGATTGTTTCATACTCTCTCATTTTGATCACTTCTTTTGACAAGATTAAGGTTTTACATGTGTTGATCATACATTTATATAGTTGATCTTGTTAGTCATCTCTATTTATTTTTTTTTAAAGAGTTAAATTATTTTTGAATTTTATTTTTTTCTATACGCTTTGTTACTATACTTATATTCTTTATATGTTTGATTGTTTTTTATTTTATAAAAAAAAGATATTAGATGAAAGACATCATGCTGCTCACTATTAGAACCCATTTCAAAACCTAGTGAATGGGAATGTTTTTCTGAATAACTTTTGATGATGGATACCTGCACTATTTGGCAGAAAAAACTGTTGGCTATCCACGTATGAAAGAAGCTTTCTAGGAAACGAATTCTTACACAATGTGTCATACTGGTTTTTTATGCAGTCGCCATCTATTCGAGCTATAACAGATTTCAGTTATTATGCCATGATTGGATAGCGTAAAACGTCTTTTATCGATTTCAGCAAGACTTTAGTCGCTAGCACTCTCGCTTCGGAGATACATGTTGTGACTCATCTACCTTTCTTTCTTTAGTCCTAATGATCATGAAATTGACTGGAATGCATCGGTTATCGATCATGCTGACTTTTTCCAGAAAAAAAATGTAAAAGGTAGTGAAAATCGGTTGGAAAACATATGATTTTTAATTACTTTTCCGAAAAATACATAAGTCACTCAAAATAATTAAGATCAAATTGAAACTTTCAAGATATATTAGTTTTGGTATGAGCCGTATAACATGACGGTTGAGAGTTGGCAGAAACTGTTTTTGTTTTGTTGAGCTTCTAAACAGCGCGTCAGAAAATCTTTTTGAAACATGCTCTTGTCACGAGAGTCAACGTGATCGATAGTCGATATTTCTAGTCAGTTTTACGGTAGTGGTAGTTAGCACTTTAAAAACAGTAATACTACTAATTGTAGGCCACGCCGTTTAGAACCGCTTTTATTTATACGTTGACGTCAGGAAAAATTTTCTTTGAACAATATGACAAAAACACCTTTTTGAGTTTGGTTTGGTATGAAATCCATGGTTTTTTTTTGAAGAGTGAGGCAACATTGATTTGAGCAGTGTTATTTATAAACATTTTGAAACAATGAAATCTGAATTGTATAGCACTGAGTCCTTTGTGAAACTCTTTTATCTCCAAGGCTAAGCCAGGTCCAGTGGCAGAGTTTTTTTTGAATGAGCTATAGACTTTTGGATTGGTGTGAAGTTTGCTTTAAATATCATTCATCATAGTACTAATTACCACTTAAGATAATCTTGATTGTTTCTACCTCATATTAAATTTCACTTTTATTCGGAATATAGAACTGCGAGATAATACATCTCTTTTGAGAAACACAATTTGTTGCCAAAATATTCGTTTCTCAAAAGAGATATAGTAAAGTGTCGAATTGGAATCGAAACTGATTTTGCGTAACTCATAGCTTCAGTTTATCAGTGAGTTTTGAACCAATTTTCACCAAAACTGCAAGCGTTTGTAGGCAAGAGTCTCAGCTATCTGTAATCTCTAAAAATTATCGTAAATTCTCAAAACACACGCATCCCAGGAAACTATACTAAGAAGAAGGTGTTTGGGACTCCAATTAGGCTCTGTACCAAATTGTACAGTCAAATTGGTGAGTGTGAGGAACCGGTCCATTCAAATAAATGAGGTTTTCTCATTTAAATAAAACTATTTTTCAGAAAACTTTGTCAGAAAAGACTTTATTATATATTCATGTTCAAGAAAATGAGCTCAGTCGAACGCAACTATTTCGAGCTCTCTATGATCAAATTTGGCCAAATGTGGTTCTAAATCGGTTCCACCAAAAGTATACGATTGAGCAATATCATTATGTAAGTTATCTATATTAAAAAGTATCTTTTTACCAGTAAAAAAAAGTACTGATGAAACAAAATAATATAAAAAAACTTATCTGTAAAATACCATGCAAATATTATGAAAAATCGTATTTTGGTGAAACTGGCCGATTTAGATCCACACGTATAACTGAATATAAAGTTGATATTTGTAATGTGAAACAAACATCAAAAGTGATGCAACATACAATACAAAATCAAATAATTTCGACTTTAATCCTGCAGAAACGCTATCGTGGGAATCAAAGGACGGGGTTCGATAAGAGGCAAAATCGGTCCCCTCACAGATCAAGCTCAAATTAACCGATCTGATGTAGTTTTTGTCGACGAATAACTCCAATATATTTTTCTACT